CACTCACCCATGTCGGCATTTGGAAACAAAAGATTGACCTTAGCATGCCTTCCTCCATTGCTTCTCCACCTCTTTCCTTGAGAAAGGATCTCTTACTGAGCCTGGAGTTTACTGTTTCAGATTTCAGCTAAACTGGCTGGGGAGTATGTCCCCAGGATCAGTCTGTCTCCACATCAGTCCTGAAGTTACAGATGCTCCTGGCCATGTCAGGCTCCCCCTGCCTGGCCTAGCCCCTCCAAATTTTCCTGGACTCTTGAATTCAGGCTCTTACAAGCACTTCAAACCCGCATCCAGCTCCCCAGCCCCGCACAGTAAGGGCTCTTAACACGAGGCTTGTGGTGAGTCTGAAGTAGCCCATAAATCACCAGACATTAGACAAAGCATTGTGTGTGTTTCTTTTTGTGGGGAATTTTCTGCTTCTCTCACTCTTTGGACTCTAAAAGAGCAGACTCAAGCTGAAAGGTGTGGGATGAACCAATCCTCATGTCATGCCGCCATAAAGGGCCAGTCAACTGTGAGCAGATACTTGTCACTGGCCTCCAGAAAGCCAATACCCACAAAGGCGTAGATGCGGTTTCAAGTCGGGACATTTATGATTTAGAGAAATGGGTATCAATTGTGGAAGGACACAGGAGGGATTCCAGGGATTTCAGATGCCAGAGGTAACTTTTGTCTGCCTGTTTTGCTTCCATTTAGAATTGAACCAACAATATGCAAACACCAAATGTAACCTGTGTAAGCATTCCTGGGCCTTTGGACACAACACTTGTCCTGGTAATGAGAGGTCATCACTGAAACCTGTTCTGAAGGACCCTCCTTTCATTCCTATTTCTTCTTATTCCAAATAGGAGGAACTGGAATGAAAGGTGGCATAACATTTGAAGAAGTAAGCAATTAACTACAGTCTCTCGCTCTCCCTCCCTCCCTCCCTCCCTCCCTCCCTCCCTCCTAACAGGAGCATTAGCATTAAGGAAGTTCCTTATCCCAAAGTCTTACCTCCCAGGCCTAAGGAACCCTGCAATTTGTTTCTTCCTGTCTCCCTTGTGTCTTGTAGAGGGCAGCGTTGGACTAACACCATTTGCTGTTTCAGGAAAAGCCACAGTCTATTATTAAGCGCTGTTCCTTTCCGAGTACTGTGGGATCTATCTCCTAACTTCTCCTTAATGAACCACTTCAAGTATCTACAGAATAGCCACTATGATTGTGTGTTTTCTCTTCCAGGGAGCAGTCCTGGAAGCAAAGACAATGCCTTGGTTGTAGAATTTTCCTGGATTCACACCCTCCATCTGCATGGTTTTAAAATGCTGCTTTCAAAAGAATTCGGTCTTGAAGAAATCTTATAAAAACCCGAAGTTATTTAATAATATTGCATTTTTAAGCTAGATAGAGCAATATTCCATAACAGCATTTTATATAAAAGATAAGAAAAGGGAACCCAATAAACTAGTGATGGATCTGGACTGGAGCCTAGTTCTACATATTATCAACTCAATTTTGTATTCAAAATGCAGCACCAATACTCAGAAATTCCAAATCAAAAAGTCACTGGAGCACTGTAAGTGCTGTGGCCACTCTATGAAACTTTAATAAACTATATGGTAGATGCATAGATAGAGGAATATTCATTAAAACATCAACAACCTCCAAATTACAGAGATGAACCCATGGACTTTCACCATATGCCAGAAGAAATTATTCAGGTTATTTGCAAGCTTGCACGGGAATAAAGTCAGCATTCAAAAACTAAAGCCAAACCAGGTCACCTTCATAAAGGCTGATGTATCAGAATGCTTCGGTCTTAGACTGGAAGAACTGGTCTCCACTTGAGCTCAGGAAATAAGGGGTCTTTTTTTTTTTAACCAAGGTTCTGGTCCCAGGACCCGGGCATAATGAAGTGTAGGAGACAAATGCAGACGTTCAGAGAGTTCTTATTCACAAATCACGAGGATATTAATTTGCATTTATTGCCTTACAGGAGGATGAAGTCAAGTGCTCATGGAAATAATGTTTGAATTAAGAATAGAGAGAAGGAAGATCTAATGCTCCAAGTGGCTTGATTGGGTAGCCAAGGAATAACAAAGGAAACACTAACTACACAATCAAATACCAATGAGCCAGGTCTGAGTCAAATTAACTCTGGCACTTGGCTTAGAATTTTAAAAACTGTAAGTTGAAAAGAGATTGTCTTATCCTTTACCAAACACTACTGATGTCAATTGTTTCAAGCTGACTGTCTGCAAAAGGTAAATGACTGGCATGCACAGATGCATTTGGCCAGCAGTACTTGCCACCCGGTGTTGTGGTTCTGCATGAGCAAAGATGGCTAGTTTCTCACAACCCTCCTTTTGCATATATTTTTCTCTTTTAATGACAAGTAGTTCATTTCTATTAACAATTATAATATTCAAAAATCATCCATGTTTTGCTGAACTCACACTGTACACTTTTTAATCAAATATATCTACACAGTAGGTTCTTGTGATTGACAAGAACTATTGTCTTTCCATCTAAACTTAAGGTCCAGAAAGTAGAAGATAAAGATGGGAGAGGCCAGTGAAATGCACCAACACTCAATCAGACTTTTATGTTAATTCATCCACTCACTTATCTCCAGCTTAAAGAACAATAACTGGCATTCATCAACATCAGCCCCAGCACATAATGTGACCACTAGTGCGTCACTGACTGTGAACACAGCTCCCAATTAGTACTGTCTACTGGATAGAGGGCAGACCTTGTGTGAGTAGTCACTATGCTTCAAGATAGACATTCAGACCCACTGGGTAGAATATGTGTGGGAGACTCATTTGTGGGGGATGGAAAGATACTGCAAATCTGTGTGTCTGGATGAGAGCAGGTGTTCTGTTAGGATGTGAACAGATTTTATAGGAATGTTGGTGAAAATGTTTAGGGCTTGTTCACCTACAGCTATCCTTTTCACATTCATCGAGGCTGCTATGGTATAGTAATTTGCCAGTCTCTGATAACAGTTCCTCTACAGGACTTCCTAATGTTGAGGTGGAATGGGGTGCTTCTTAAGTAGGATGATGATTCATTTCTGAGTTACAAGTGGTCCAGTATACTTGAACTTATATTCTATTTGGTAGGAAGAAAAAAGTCACCACAGGTTCTAGTCTGGATGACTGTTTCCACAGATTCAAACACGTCGAGCACATTCTTGTTTCCAACAAAGGAAGGCCCAAGGATTGTCCCTATAAGCTCCTGTCATCTCCTGTGTCCCACTGCGATGAATCCTAAATTGACTTGAAGGCTGAGGAGGGAGAATGCCATTCACTTTGACTTTCCTAAGCAATTTGGGGCTCATGGATCTGCTAAGCAGAGGAGAAACTTTCACTTCTAAGAGACATTAGGGAGATCTGACTGGTGAATCCAACAGCCATGGGGAAATGGTCCTCCAAGAATGTGCTCTTCCATAACCTGATCACCAAAGAACCACAGGCAAAAGGAGCATGAGTTGACAGTGATAGCACCAAACCTTACTCATCAATTCCATCTTACAGTGCTAGCCCTGACTGACATTGACTCAGGGCACGATGGTCATAGGTTGATCTGAGGCATGATTAGTGACAAGGTTATTGGTAATGTCAGCTAGTAGTATTACAGTAGCGATTCATAGATATCTAGCAGCTGTATATTTGAAAGAGAAATCTATTCCAACCGAGGTTGGGAGTCATGTTCTCTTGTCTCAGTCAGTTAAGCTTGGGTCGTGTATCTTTGCAGCTGTTCTGATATCCTCTTCAGGGGGATTTCTGGCTTCCACTTTAGAAACAAGTGAGTCACCCATGCTTTCTCTACTTGACTCCAGTGAGCTGTGATCTGTAAGCTAACTCCACCAGTGTGGACAGAGGCATAGGAGGAATAGAAAATCTCACTTAGCACTTTCATTCTTTTTCCCCCTCTAATTAAGAAAGTATTGACTTTATTTCTTGGAGCAGTTTGGGGCTTAGAGAAAATTGAGCACACAGTGTAACAGAAAGCAATGTGTTTATGTCTCTGGGCCCACCTCTAAAGTAATTTCCTATATGAGTAAATAGCTACAGGCTCCCTGCATCAAACTCCTATATTTTCTTGGTTCCGGGAGGGGACTGTTTTGGAAATAACCCCCACTCTACCTACCCGCTGCAGCTGATAAATCTTTCTCTGCTTTCAATTCCTGTCTCAACTTTCCACTCATACTTTGCATCCTAAGAAAATACAAGGCCCCCTACTTGCAGTGGTTCTGGGAACAGTGGGGAGGGCAACACCAATCAACCCAAGTCTACAAGACTTAGGCAGATTGTTCCATACACTATTGAGCGGTCCAGTACCTGAAGTTACCAGCGAAGGGTGTAGTTGAGGTGGGAGGGCAAAGGGGGACAAAGAGATATAAAGTCAGTGATTCCATGTCAATGCTAGTGGCAGCTGGAAATGCCAGCCCTCCTTTCAAATATCCTGACTCAATTCAGGCAGAGCTGACGCCTGAAGTCACAAAGGCAGCAATTCCTGACTTATCCAGCCGATACTTCATTTCTGACTCACAATCAATCTTCTATGTGTTTCATTTCCAGAATCAGTCTTAGAATTATTTGAATATTGTTACATTAAAATCTTTCTTTCCTCTTAATTTATGGGTATCAGTGAGGTTTGGGTGGTGGTGGTAGTGAAAGACATGGTAGGCAGTCAGTCCTCAGAATACTAATCCATAAGATTTGGAGTTATTTAATACACACCACGATGAAATTATTGGAACTAGCAGCCATGACTGGCTCTGACCATCTGACCAGCAAGGAAATCGAAGGTATTGAAGACAAGGTCCCCCCAAAATCTTGGTTCTCCTTGCATTCAGAGGGAGGATGGAGGAAGTCTCCAACCCCACTGTCCATTAGCAGAGCACTTGCCAAGGCAAGCTCCTGCCCCTCCCAGGAGCAGTGTGACACCCCCACCTCCATTCTTCACCTCCCCTCCCCGCCCCCTGTTACAGAATGAGGTATCACACCATGTGAAGAGGGACATGGAACACTTTTTAATGTCAAGTCAGAGACAACCCATCCCTCCCCTCTCCCCCAATCCCACTTTCCCTCATCACATCCAGGACCCCTCCCCGAGGCCTCTCCGGTCCCCAGACTTCGGGGAAGGAAAAAAATGGTTACCTAAAAACTGCGTTTTTCTTCTCTTTCATACACACTCACACGAAGGTGGAAAATTAAATAAAATAAACCAAGAGGATTAAGTTCTCCAGTAGTCACAAAGGCATCAGGGATTCCCGCAATGGGCTAAAGCAAGTGATTGCTGACGGTTGGTTTAGTTGGTCCGGTTGCTTGCCGTCCGTTAATGCCCCAAGGTGTGATGGAGAAGCCAAGCTGGCGGCCTCCGCCTCAGAGAGCCACACCTGGAAAGACGCTGCGCCTGATATTAGTGATTGTTTCTGTTGTCCTTTCCGCTCTTTAGAAATGTCTCTGACATGTAAATAACCCAAGAAAAAAAGAAGGAAGGGAGCTGATTACACAATTACCAGTAAACTCTATCATCTTTTAGAAGGTCAACACACAGCTAACGCCATATACAGCATGCAGTAATGTCTGAGAAAGGACCCTGCTGAGAAACAAAATGGCTAGAACTCTAACAAAAAAAATATATGTATATATATTTATATATACTGTATAATATATGTCGTCAAAAGAAGCATAGCCAACAAACCAAGATAGAGTGCAGATCAACCTTCCGTTTCTAAGCAGTGTGTAGACAGCATAGTACTGTCTGCATGAAATGTCAGAATGAGGAGGAGTCCGTAGCGCTGGTGGAGGTGTTTGTTAAGTCAGATGTGTTTCTGGTGGATTTGCCAAATCCTCACCAGGTGGTTAGTACCTGGTGTGGGGTCCACCAGTTGTAAACCTAGTAAAAAGTACACTATTTGCTTTTAATGCTTAATAAACACGCTTCTCTTCACCCCTCTCCTGTGTATTTTTAGTTTTGTCTCTTGCTTACGCACTAAGCTCTAGACTCATATCAGAAAATATAATTAATAAAATTAATAATGAATCAGAATCCCTTATTATCCGTGATGTCCATGTGGTAAAATGAAAAAAAAAAAAACCAAAAGTTTAACGATATATTTTGTGACTGTCGCTTGTGGGATTATGGTGCTGTCAGGCTGTCTTGTTTCCTTTTCTTTCTTTTTTTTTTTTTGTCATTGTCTTTTTGTTTTTTTCTTCAGATTTCACACTTCATGATACATGCCACCATGGCGCAGCCCACCAAAGGGCCCTCTGCGGCACATCCAGGCCCCTGTTTCTCACTCTGTGCTTGTCTCTACGGACCGATGGAATTTGGGGATGGCCGACTCCAGAAGGTTCCATGGTGGGGCACTTTAGTGGGCAGAGTGGCTGAGCCCTTGCCCACCCTGGCAACAGAGAGGTCACACAGTGCAGCTTGTGGGTGGGTCCAAGCCAGGTGTGCCTTCTTCCCATTTGGGAAAAGAAAGAAAACTCAGTGGTACCTAAATATCTGCAAGGCAATTTTCAAATTTCCTTTTTTAATTTTTTTTCCTCTCCCACAGTATTCTTTGTTCCCCTCCCTCGAATTTCTGTCCCCTTGGCCGTGATTCTCTGAATGTCATTGGATTCTGACTTGTCGCTGTCGTAGTATTGAGATGCAGTGGCGGCAGCTCTCCCCAGCAGGGAAGGGGCACTCACATCAAAATTTGAGGAGCAGGTGTAAGACCAGAAGAGGGAGGAGCCAAATGCAGCCTGCCCTCCTTGATGTCCCATTGTTCACCTCACTGACAGCACCCGGGCCTGTGGAGAGAACACACACGCCATGAGCTGCTTGCTGCAAGGTGGGTCAACTCCTCACCAGTCCCTGGGTCTGGTGTTGCTTCTACCGAGGCTTCCCTCTACGATGAACATCTGGCGCGCGAACCACAGAACGTTCCCAGGCCCTCACATGGACACTCAGCCTGCAAGCGGAAGCCTTCCCTGGCAAACAGAGAAGACGACTCTGTTGAATCATCATTTGCCCATGGCATAACATGCTTCAACAATGTCAAAGCCTTGATCTCCTGGCTACTTGCATTGTCTCCCATCCCCTTCTGAGATCCAACTGCCTCAAACGTTTACAGAACCTTCAGGCTATCCCGCTTGTTCAGGAAAGGGCCTGTTGGGCCCTGCAATCTGTCTGCTTGCTGCCGTTCCCCTGAACAAAGTGAGTCTGTCATTCTCAGGGTGGTGCTGGGGTTCCCCATGGAGTCCTTGGCCTCTTTCCCATCTGGTTGACGTAACATCAGACTTTAGCTCAAGTGTCTGACAGACCAGCTCACACAGGATAGAGGGTGCACTAAGTAAGGCACAAGACCATGTGCTGTGTGGAGAAGAGTGCAAGTAGGGGTTAATGTGGACATTGATGTGCAGCATATGCTTCAGTGAATGACTGTTGGGAGGCGAGTTTCCCTACGAGGCACTTATTCACCTGGTTTAGAAGTAGACACTCTTTGCCAAACACAAGAGGTGGGAGAACTAACTCCAAAGTGGCAAAGCTCCTCAGTAGGTTCTCCATTGTTATATACAAACTTCTGGGCTACTTTGGCTCTTGTGTCCAAGGACGTCCATGAAAAATAAGTGATGATTCCGAAATAGCACATACAGTCAGAAATCAGATGAATTAGACACTTAATTGACAGGGACATGGCCTCTGATTGGACCTGCTCTGATCTGCTCTGGAATGTTGAATTTCTCAGGGATATTTACAGCTGGTGACCATACTCAGTCTCTGTCTTCACCTGAACACTGCCAGAACTTGATTGCCTGAATCAGGAGCTCAGCACCGGAGTCACTTCCGGTTAAATCACACTGGATTCAACCAGGCTTCTTGATTGCACATGGGATTATTCTGTCAGGTCCTAGAATTTTTGACATAGCTGCTGCCCATATGATTGCATTTCTTGGTCCTTTGAGGTCAGCAGCTGCCAACTTTGTGTTAGCCTGGGTCACAGGAGTCACACACTAGGACCTTCTTGGTAATGGTAAGTTGTCATGCTGAAAGTCCAGGGAACCCTGTTCTGCTTTGTGCCTGGCAGGGAGGTGACCCAGGCAACACAAAGTAGAAAGCATTCTTGGGGATACAGGTGGTGAATAGGCATGATCACGAAAATACTGAATACTTACCTTTCTATTGCTTGTCACATGGGACTAGTCACCAAGGGCTTACACATTCTAGAATCTAACTGCTACGTTTCCATCCAAAGCGTCACTAGGAACTCGCTTTTTATATCCACTCATTGTCTTCACACACTTTTCTTGTTCCCACAGAAGAGAGGTCACTCCTTGACTCTCCAAGGAAAGAGGTTACATTCCTACACTGTGAGGGAGTCTTTCCTCTGTGGACTGCTCTATTCTTTCGCCTTTGGCCCTCGTCTGTGCCTGTGGCTGTGAGATCTTATATATAGACTGTGAAAGCCAGGTTCCATTTCTTTCCTGGTAAAGAGAGTGGTCCATTCCATATTTCTACATGTGCCTTTCCCATCACAATTTAAAACACGTCCTGTGTGCTTAGTCTGTTGGGAATCTATCAGGGCACAGACTGTAGCACACGGCGCTCCCCCCCCCCCTTTCTCTCTCTCCTATCTCTTTTGTTTTTGAGTACTCATGTTTTCAGCTTTAAAACCCATTCCTTATTCAACCTCAGCATTTCTCACCCAACTACCTGCCATGGCCAAGAAGATAGCTAGGGACAAAAGAGATGGAGAACAAATGTCAGTTCCTTGGAAACACTTGGATGCTCCTTCTCTCCTCTATTCTCCCCTTTCATGCTTAACTGAAGGGCAGAAGTCACAAGCCACTCAATACAACAGAAGCCCTGCCTGGTTCCCATGTTAGCAAAGTCCATGTAAGGCTGAAGACCTGTGTCTAGCCTGGAGCCTCTGTACAGCCTGGTAGCTCTGCCAGCTGCCCTCCTGGGGCTCTTGTTCAGTTACATGGGTACAGCCCTCAGAGCTCCTCTGTGGTTCAATCCTACGTTGGGAAACAGTCCAAGAAGTCTACAGGGACAGCTCTTAAGCCAGCAAACTATAGAAAACAGAACAGTGCCTGAGAACACATCGTTTTGCTTGGAGGAAGGGTTGTCTTGGTGAAATTCATAGGGCCTTCCTGCTGTTCTTACTCAGGCCTGAGTAACCTTGTCCAGACATCCCACTGCCTCCACCCAATGCACACACTTCCTCCTTCCACCCTGTCTGTCAATTCAGTGCCTATAGGAAAACCTGACTTAGAATGAAGGAGCAGGAGACAGACAGCCCAAGGTAAGAGTCCTTTCCATGGCTCCTGCAAGAGACTCCTGCAATGACCCACCTCCCAAGTCAGAGTTCACCAGCTACCACTGCCACCGGTTGCTGGAACAGCTCACATTTACCCCTTACATTAATTTCAGAGTCACTCCCATACCTCCAAATTGCTCCATCTGAGTGATACAGCCTTAACAAAAACATCTGGCTCCTTGGTAGAACGTTCACCATCACATTGTATTATCTGTCAGCTATCTGGCCCAGGCTGTCTTCCTACCATGTTTTCTTAAATTTTCTTGGTCCAGTGCATGGAGGCACGTGTGTATACACACACACACACACACACACACACACACACACACACACACACACACACACACAGGATGGCAGTCCCCAGCCATATTCTTTTTCTTTAACAAGCTCACATGCACACACACACACACACACACACACATACACACACACACACACACACACACACACACACACACACAGAGGCTGGCACTCCCCAGCCATATTTTTTTTTCTTTCACAAGCTCACATTCTCTAGCCCTTTGTGTGAAACTTTTTCCATGTAACTCACTTCTCGTCATTAGTCCAGCTTCTCCTCTGAACTCCAGTGGTTTCCTATAGGCAGTGTCCATTGATTCTGTCAGTAACATATCCATTCTGCTTTTAAATACTGCTCCCAGAATTCTAATATTCTAGTTCTCCATATTTGTCTGACATGCAGTTTCTCCTAAACGCTATCACCAACTAAAACCATTTCTTCCCCTCCTCTTCCCCTCTTATTTACTTGTTGGAAACAGCATCTCCCTATTCAGCTCAGACTGAATTAGAAATCTTAATCCTTCTGCCTAAGGATCCCAAGTTCTTGGGGCATAGGTGCATGCCACCACATCTGCCTTGCTATGACTTCCTAATGGCAGGGTATATGTCTCCCTGATCATGGCAGGTATTCTAGTGTTTACTGACTAGAGGGGAGATGCTGACTGATGCTGACATGTCTCTATTTGCCTTGTACTTGTTTTCCTTTCTCTTAAAATTATACTTGTTAAAAAAAATCAAACCACATAAGAAACAAACAAAAAATTCTTTCCCTACAATGTTTTCAGCTTTATCTCAATGTCTCTTACAGAAATCCTTCCTCCCCTTTTTAAACTCTGTCCAACAAAGTCACCAGAAGTCCCAGGACTGAGCAACTCTACCCAGAGGCAAAGCCTTATGGACCAGGAATTTAAGAGGGCTGGGGATCTATTATAGTATCTAAGGACTGGGCTGAAGATTGCTATTTCTTTTGGAATTTGTGGAAACTTTTACTTTTGAGAGCTCAAGAGCCTTCTCTGGTCCTTGATTCAGTTTCCAAATGTGCTTTGCTTCCCACCGGCTCAGCTCGTGTATTTTCACAAGAAGGGTGAGGTTGATGGCTAACCCATCTGAGTACTGCTGGAGGCTGGCCTGCCCAGCCCTGAGAAAACACTGGGCAAATACCGGAGGAAAGAATGCCATGGGGTAAAGATCTTTGGTCCAGGCAGGCATAGGTCACAGCCTGCTAAGGGCAAGGCCCTTTCACAGTAGATGCTAGGGAAGTGACAGCTCATCCCATCTGTCTGGTGGCACGGTCACTCAGATGAGGCATCTGTTCTTCACCCAGCCACGCCTCCATTCCACATTGGATGCCTTTATTGCCACTGTCTCATTAGAGAGCAGCGGAGGCCTAAAGAGACTAATTACCGGGACAGTTAGGGTCTTGCAGAGCTGTGATGAGTGTCAATTATCCATCGGAAACATCTGGCTGCCATGAAAGCCTCAAATAAGACACATTTTATTCCTGTCCCAGTGACTCACCCAAGAACCTCCCCTTTCCTCCCAAGTCCCCCTCCCTCTCCCCACCTTCCTTCTAGCTCCGAGTTAGAAAAGGAGAGAAAGGGGTAAGCAAAGGCAGCATGCGAGGCTATGGCCTGAGAAGATTGTCGCATTAGAGAGAGCTTCACAGTGAAAAAAAGGCAAGCCCAGTGCCAGGGTCCCAGAACCCAGCTCTTGAATATAGGTAGGTGCTCATTAGTGCCACCACAAGGACCAGTTAAACTCGTGCAAGTGGAGCAACTCACGCAGGATGTGACATCATTGGGAATGGAGTTAATCTAGGTTGAAGGCAAATCACTCAGGAGTCAGGGAGAGGTCCCTCTAGAATGCTTAAGGGTGAGCTTAAAGAAGAAAGCATCTAGGATGAGATGAAGAAAACTACATACCCCATTCCCACTAAGGCATCAGCTGCCTGAGAAGTAAATATACAAACCTTTCCAAGGGGTCAGGGCGGTAGTTTTCACTTCTAAAAAAAAATTAAAAATAAGCCACTGTTAAGGCAGAAAGCATCTTCAGGTGCTTACTTTGCCCTCAGATGGTCTTAGAAACAATCCAGAGTTGTTATTGGGCCAAGAGAGTCCCCAGGCCCCTTATAGCTGCCTCTAGATATGCTGACCACTGTCCATCACCCACAGCCCGTCAGGTTTTGTTTTGTTTCCCACTAGAAGTGAACTGGGGCAAGGAAGAGCACAGATGACAATTATGGTGGTCACAGACCGAAGCAGGGCCTGAATATGACACACTTGATCTTAGGAGACAACTACTCCTTTGGGATCTGAGCTGCCGAGTCAGAACCTCTTCATAGAAATGTCCATTCTCCCATCAGATTATCCCCTGATTTACTGATTTCTGTGGTCTTAAGTATAACATTGGTGGATACAGTAGGATTTATACTACAGCAATTTGAGTGTGGGTACCTGTGCTAGTTATAAAATGTGAAAGTCTGACTCACTTTCAGTTTTATCTTGTCTCTTAGAAACACTGGTGAGTCAGCTCTTAGATGCCAGAAGAATCTTGGCCTTTACTATCTGACTTCAAGATGGCCTGATGGGACTCCCCCTCTCTGGGGTCACCAGAGACAGTGGCATCTGTACCTGTGCTGCAACAGGACTTTCTGGAAGCCCCTGGAGATATCTAAAAATGTAGACTTCTCTGTTGACTAGATTGTGAAAAAGCCCCATTTTCTTGACTCTAAGCTCTCAGAAGAATATCCAGGACTTTCTCGAGTTTTCCGTGGATGGCCAAGAGTTTTGATGGCTTGAATTGTGATAATCATTCACCTTTTACTTCCCTCTCTAGCCAAGGGCCTGTGAAGTTGCTCATCTGGATACAGCGAGCATATGAAACACCATCAAAGCTTTGGGCACTGAAGCGCTACCTTAGGAGCTGTTCTTTGTGCAGAGGTCCTCACATTTGGAGAGACAACAGACTTCAATACAGTGCATCCTAACTGCAACCTTGGTGTTTGTAGTAAGATGAACGCATATTGTAATTCTGGCTCTTGAGCTATTCTTTAGTGGCTTGGGCTTCTGAAACCTCCCGATATAAGGTATGTTACCACCTTAAGAAGCCCTTCTGAAGACATAAAGATGTGAGAGGTGATCCACTGCCTAGTCATCGAAGGAATGCCCCAGGAAAAGTTAAGATGGGGGAAGGAAGACACATGTGGTGGCCCCGTGTGTCTTGTGCACAGTGTGGACAGTCCTTTGGAGCACTTGTTAGGCCCTTGGAAAGGTCCAGAAGCTGAGGAGGGACTGGTTTGTGAGTCTCTGTGCCAAGAAGGAAGGAAAGCCTGTGGAGATGATGGGGAATAAAGAAACCATACAGACTTTGCGCCCAGACAACAAGCAGTGAAAACAAGGTGGACTGTAGGCTGTTACCTCCAGAGTGTTGCAGTTACTGGCTCACATAGGGCTACAGGAGGACATAAGTAGTTTCTATGTAGACCTGCCACTATGAGGAACAGGTATGAACTGAAGGCACACATTCCTGGTTTAGGAACCACACAGAAAATCCAGAAACAACATACACAAAATTGTTCCCATTCAGCTTCCCCAGCCTTGGATTCCTGGTGCAACCTTTGAAAGAAACTCAATTCTTTAGCATCCATAAGGTAAAGGGCAATTTGACGCTTATCCTGACCTTATCTAGAATTCATTCTTTTGGGTCTTTTCTAGGTCAGCCAACTCTTGCTTAGTGTAGCGGTGGGGGGGGGGGAAATGCAGCCCTGTTGTTCCTTCTGTGGACTGTGGGATACTTTTGTTCTAGCATCAAGGAGAGGTACAGGAGTTGTGACAGCATACTCTCTGTCTTGGTGACATTCTGTCATTGTGTGAACTTTGTGAGAGCCTCTGAAGCCAGTGATAGCCCTAATTTCTAGGCTTTGAGTGACATTTTAGCTATCAAGAAAAGAAACAAAGCTGGGTGTGATTACACATGTCTTGAATCCCAACACTTGAGAGGCAGAGACAGGCTGATTTCTATGAGTTTGGGGCTAGCCTGGTCTATATAGTGAGTTCCAGGATAGCCAGCGAAAGAAAGAAAGAAAGAAGGAAAGAAAGAAAGAAAGAAAGAAAGAGAGAAAGAAAGAAGGAAAGAAAGAAAGATGGAAAGAAAGAAAGAAAGAAGGAGGAGGAGGGAGGGGGAAGTAGGGGATGGAGAGATGACTCAGTAGTTGAGAGCCCTGGCTGCTCTTGCAGAGGACCCAGATTCAATTCCCACTACTATGTGGCAGTTCATAACCATGCATATAACTCCAGTTCCAGGGGATCCAACACCTTATATCACAAGGCATGCATGTGGTACATAGACATGTAAGCAGGGAAAACCACACACACACACACACACACACACACACACACACACACACACACACACACACACAATTAAAATTAAAATTAAAAAATTATAAAAATAAATCATTCTTGACAATCCAAATATTTTTCTTCAATAGAACCTGGATTAAAATTTAGTTGATTCTTTTGCTAATGATATATTAGCACAAAGCCAGAGAGAACCATGGTGGTGTGGTAAACATTAAGCAAAAAGAAAGCTGGGTGGAAGAGATAAGAAAGAACAACAGAAGGGAAGAAGGGAGGGAGGGAGGGAGGGAGGGAGAGAGGGAGAAAATATAAAAAGGAAAAGAGTACCCTAAGTCAGGTAATATTGCATATTTCTGTGCATTCTAGAAATGATCATTATGTCAGCAAAGCAAATACTCATAACTGAATCTAAGTGTTCAGGTAAGTTCAGGGCTGGCCTCTAAATCTCACAGGGAGAAATTTGCTTCTGGGTGAATATGGTTGTTCAATTCACTCTTCTAGAAAAAAAAACATTTTTTTTCATATACATGCCATAGATATGCTGACTGCATGATTCCTTGGTAGGTTGGCCTAGCTAACTTTGTTGAATTCTCTACAGGAAGAACTGATCATCTCCTTCTGAAATCCAGGAGGGGATATCTGCTTTTGTTGTCCATTCTTTAATACTGGGAGGCTCACGGGTATTAATAAGCCAACATTTCTGAGCCCACTGATATCATCAGATCTGAGCAGATTGAAGATAGAGGGCCAATAGATGAGAAGAGAGCAGCTGGGGTGCCGCTGAGCTTGCAGCGTGGGCCCTGCATTCTTACCCACACAGAAGCTCTGTGAGGGATGATGGCACAGCCCAGAATTCTTATTTATCACTTTGAGAGTCCTGTACCACCAAATATTAATACTGGAAGGTGACATGCAATCTGTTGTGTTTGCAAAAGGGAGGCAGAGAAATATGTCAAGGGTGGCAAAAATGCTGAGGAGGAACAAAATTCTCTTATCACTTCTCGTCCATTTAGATAGTAGGCAGCAAGGCAGCCTCAAATTTCTCTAAAGGCCAAGGGTTTTCTGTTGTAGAAACCCATACAGTCCTATAAGTCTTTCTGTACATAAGAAAAGCATCCCTTGGAGGTGTTCCTAGAGAAAACAGCTATCTCATCTATTCTATTGGAAACAAGCCATGGTAAGGGGAAAATGAATGTAGATAAATGAGTGAAAATGTTCAAGTGCAAGGTCTGCTTCTTCTAAAGTATGCCTAGCTTTACACTCCAGTCCAGTGGTTATGCAAAAGGACACATGAATCTGTTAGAACATTCCAGACTTCTGAAGTCTAAACTTTCTGCCTTAACTTACACCCAATAAGGAGACTTCTGAGATGAAGGGGTGAGAGGAAATCATAACGGGAGGGAATTTTCTCCCAAGTTTCATTGCACATGCTTTGGGGAGATGCTTCTCCACCAATTGAATGTAACCTCAAGTAAGAATTGCTTTGTTAGGGACTACTCTCTGAATATGAAATGCTCCTATTTCCTCTGACAATGTAGTTCTAGTGGTCAGAATTAGCTTAATAACTGCTGAAAGCACCATGGTACATCTGTCCTTCCCACCTCTGACGTTAGTGCTTTTCTAATGCTCTTTATTTTAGATCTGAAAGGTGCCTCATTTGGGAGTTCAAAGGCAGAAGTTGTGTCACAAGTTGAGTCTGAATACATCCACGGACTGGTCCTTTTCCTTCCCTGTTCTTTGTTTCACTTTTCTGTTCTGACTCATCAGCATGGCACCGTGCATCACAAGGGTAGATAATGTAGCCCTGCCTCTTTTCATGCTAAAAGCCTTTTTCTTCACTTGTCACATAGCTCCCCTGTAATTCATTTCTTTCTGTCTTTCCCTCCACCTCCCAGATTTAAGGCTGTCTTCAGTGAGTGTCCACACAGTCAGAATGTAAATGGATGAACAGGATGGTTGCAGGGTAGGATGAGGGAGGTCAGAAGACTGTGTTGGGAGTAGGGAGTTCTGAGCTGGCAGAGCGCCCAAAACAGTCATCAAAGGCTAGAACTGTGGCTCAGTGGTAAAGCATTGCCTAGTATGTGGCCTAGTATGTGAGACGCCATGAGTTGACTATCCTGCATAATAAAAAACACAGGGAAGCAAACAAAACTACTCTTCTTTAGAAGAGGACAGTGGCATGTGGTGACAACTTTGCAATATATCACTCACACTACGTGAGTGGACCCAGAGGAAATGAGATGAGACATCAAGCATCCATAGAGTGGCAAGAGTGATACAAATCATAAATGGGCAAGAGATGAGAGTGGAAGCCGAGGTTAAGGGACTGGTGAGAAGAAACTGAAAAGGAATGGATATATGGAATGTGTTCTGTATGGAGGAAGTCCCGGTCTTTTAGCCTGTATCTGGAGACTCAAAATGCAATGATATGCTTCAGAGCCTTTTACATGCTGGACACTGGAACAACTCCGAAGGGCAGATTACTCTTCATAGAAGACAGAATGAAGTCCAAATGAGGTTATATGACTCATCTAAAAACTGAGGCCTCCTAAAGGTCAGCTGTGAGCTGCAGTTCTTTGATACTTCAACCTGGATCCTTGGAAAACCTGTGGACCAGGTGATGGTGACAGGTTTCTTGGACTGTTTGAATTGCCATGAGAATTGTCTGAGTCTGCTGCCAAGGGACATCAACAGGATTCTTTATGTGCAAACTCGGACACCTTTTGTACCAGGCTGTCACTGCGGTCAGTGGTTGTATTGTGTTCTCATTGGTTCAAATTCAGTTTCTCAAATCTTTGTCCTTATGCTGGTCTCTGGGTTTGGCATTTTAATGATGCTGTATTTGCCTTACTAATCTCAGCTCCCCTAGACAGTGTATGCAAGGGATGAGCAGAGGAAAAGACTTCCGTGGTATTTTACCAGCTCCCAGGAGCCTCCTTTAACAGCAATCCACTGCCACATTCTAGGCAATGTTACTGCTAGGAATATCAGGACATCAACACCAGGGATAGGGTGAGGGAGAGGGAGGGCATGAGGACTTTAGGATCAAGGAGAAGGGAAGGAAAGCAGAAGGCAAGGGGGATACTGACCTTGCAATAAAGTTGAGCTTGTAGGCTCATTTAGTTCTAAATCGGGTGGGGGACATACAGGAGAGAAAAATGAAAACAAACACATATATTATATACAGTCGCTATATATTTTTCATATATAGTTTGTATACTGCCTTTCACAAGCATTTCTAGAGGAAAGGATAAATAAAGGAAGACACAAACCAAAAGCCATAGGACAAGGTGCAGCAAGACAAACACTGAAATGCTTTCTGTCCCTTAACAGGGGTGGGATGGTGGGAAGCAAGGCAGAGGGCCACTCCATGAATTTTCCAGTGCAAATGGATTCAGTCTTTGCTTCTGCTGTGCTTGGGAACTAACTGACTATAAACAAAGGACCAAAGCTCCTTTCCGAGTGAAAGTTTTCCTACCACATCTTCATCCCATTGTCTTACAGATAGAGACTAAATCTAGCAATTTCTAATCTCATGGTACTATGATCTGGATTTCTTTGGGGCCGCCTTGAACTGCTGTGGTTCAGGAATACAGAAGCATCAGTCTCAGAATTCTATGACCAGCTCTATGGTCCCAGAGTCTAGATGCTCAGAGCCTTATTGGTTGTTAATGGCAAGGTCTACCCTGCTCCTGTAAGACTTACATCTCCCAAGATACAAACTTAACAGGAGTTTCTTACACCAGAATCTCTCACTTTTCAGTGTGACATGGAAAGGATACCCTGTTATGATTTACATGGAAGTTGATGACAAAATGACAATAATTTAGCTGGCTTTCTGCAATGACACTGGAGAAAAATTTAGTCACGGATGCTCTGTATTCACAAAAGTAAGTGCTACTGTCCAATCTGCCTACTCTGTTTGGTGGCTCTTGCTGAAAATGACACAGAACATTCCCTAGCAAATTTATATTTGTCAATGAACTTCACTAATAATGACCCCCAATTATGAATTTGGAAGAGAACATAATGTCTGGACTAGACCTGGCTAGAGATGGGGGTTGAAAATGCTCGTCTTAAACATAATTTGGATTTCATCAGCTCCATGGAAGAATGGTGCTCATGCAGATCTTCTGTGGCAGGCTCCTCAGGAATAGTCTTGCAAATGAAACTAACAAATGAGATTGATTTCTAATTCTCTAAATTTGAAAGGGATTGCATGTTTGCCTCTCCCTCCTAGAAATTTTGTATGTTCCAGCTCTGAGATCTCCTCCATTAGGGAGCATCTCCACCTGTACTCCATTTATCTGTAGTTTACTCAGGCCTCTTCCACTTATTTGCAAAGGAGCTATTAGTTCATAATGGACATTTAGCAAACCCTAGAATTTAGGATGATGGCAATGACAAAATATCCCAAAGGAGGCAGAGGGTATATGCTCTCTTCTCGGTGGTGGGAAGGGAGGGGAAACAAGGCTGTAATTGCCATACATGGGTCTGCTGAGCAAAACCAATGGCAAAGCCCTTTCTCTCTCCATCTTAGAACAGAGAGGAATTTCAAGGAGAGGGAAGACTATTTGAAAGAATGGGCATGGCTATGGCCAAAGAACAGGATGCGGGAAGGTGCTGAGGGAAACGCTGTGGATAAGCGTTAGATTTTCAAGGCAAAGGAGAATGGGCCTGCCCATTCCTAATACTACCCTTTGTGCATATAAATACCTCCCATAAATCCCTAAAGGCCTGACAGATAAAAAGTGCACTTATGACTATCTCTGTATATGAGAGAATTCTTATGACTATTCCCATGCACGGAAGGGGACTTCTAATGCTGTCCATGCACAAGAGAGGCACATGGCTATCCCTGTACATGAGAGAATGCTTAAGACTATGTTTGTTGAGGGCCTAAGCATCTCAGTCACTCTGGTCACAACTTGCCCCTTCTCAGCTGTGTTTTCTGGGATCAAATACAGCCTTCCCTTTTCCAACCTCCTCAGCTAAGGCTGGGCTGCATTTCATATGCTGAGTAGGAGGTTGGAAAGGTGTAATTGGGAAACAGAAATGGTACCACAGAGTGTGTGTTGTTAGCACCAAGGATATGTGATAGGGGTAGAATGGAGAGTGGAGCCCTTGAGGATGTGAGACTGCCTAGGTGTTCTCTAACAAGAGTGCATATTCAAATCTTTCTTTTCCCTTCCTACCACATTCAGGTGTATCTTTAACACAGGGAACGGGAGAAACTGATTGGGAAATTTGACAGTCATTGAACGTGGTGAGGTATGGAAAAATGTGCTCAAAAGACAACCAGAAATGAATCCTATGGCCCATAGAAGGTATCTGAACACATTAAGGTTTTAAAGTCATTGGCAGACATCTGAAGTCCTTCCTGATGGTAGATAGGCATGTATGCTCACTCCTGGGTAGACATTGCTCACAGGGTGTAGACATACAGTGCTTTCCACAAAGCTTGCTGTTTGCTTCTGCCACAAATACAGTGGCTAGGTATGAAACGAGGGCAGAAAAAAATTGCTTTATAAACTTAGTCCCTCAATAAAGAGTTAAGGAACTGGTGCATGAACAATGATATGAGATCTTCAAGAGGATGGCAAGGATGGGCAAATGTCTTTACCAGCCATTGACACAAATAGAGAACTTGGAAAAATCCCATTTTCTGTCTTCTTTATCTGCCCATCTCTGAAATGAATATTATTAAGGATTCCAAGGACTGTGATTCGGCTCTTATGAATGTCATTCATATTTTCTTATGTGCCAATGGCTGGAGAAGTTTCAGAAAAGGGAACATATTATTTAGCCCAGTGGGCGAAGGACTGAAGCCGTAAAAGCTCCTCTCTGAGATCTTAACTATTTTGTCCAATTATAATCTCTGAGTCAGTTCTGGAGACATCACTGAGGGGAAAATGTAATTTTTGGCATCTAAAAGCTACCCTTTTCTCTCGTTTCAGGACTTCCATCATTTTAGGTAAATGAACATTCCATTTTTTCCATCATTCCCACTTCTGATACCTATGTTCTTACATGTATGAGTTTCTCTCTCTCTTTCCCCTTTTTTATTCTTTCACTTGCTGTACCTTGCTTACTTCCAATCCTTTTCTTTTCCTCCATCCTCTCTTTCCCTCTGTCAACACTTCCTCACTTCACACTGCCTTGTTACCCATCTCAGGGCAGAGTCTCACCAAATAACATGATGCTGGCATTGGTATGGCCCAACTTGTTGGAGGCCACACACGTGTAGTTCCCGTAGTCATGTTCAGAGACGTTGAAAAAGATAAGCTTTGAGAGGAAAGGTCTGTTTTCCACTTTGACTCCCTTCTTTCCTTCAACCAGTCTAGGCAAAAAAGCAACAGAAAAGGGAAGAGGGAGGGGGGAGGGAAAAAAACACACTGTCAATTTCTCTCATAGGATGGACTTAGAGTCTAGAATTAATGATATCCTCATCCCCCACCATGATACCATCATGATAATTATTCATTCTTCTTAACAGAACTATATGTTTCCACAGGACTCGGGAAGAGCAATCAGGACAGAATATCTTGGGATCAGTCTGGAACAGTCTTCCCCGGCCATGTTAGCTTCTGGAGAAGTCAGCTGATGGGCCGGCAGGATTCCTTTTGCTTTGTAGTACAGAGATTTTCCTGTGTGTGTCTTCCTTTCTCAAAAACTAAGGGCAGTGAACTGGTGTAAGCCACTGTCCTCACTGAAATGCCCTTTGGCTCTGTGGGATGGCATAAAGCACTCTGCTCTGAGAACAGAGACCACTGTTTGATCTCCAACATTACATAGAAGTGAATCTTGTAAGGGATGCTGTCCAAGGCTCTGCAACCCATCATGAGGGTGCTTCTGTGAGCTAGTATGGGTGTGGATCCCATTCCTAGTCTGGCAGTATTCTCCATAAGGGGAGATGTCTTCACATCAGAACCAAGCTGTGAATTGGATTTTGGCTCCATGGTGGGAAGAGACTAAACACAGTGCAGGGTGGCCAGCAGAGTTCTGCATCACTTTACACTCCCGAGATGACACACATTCCCCTCCTCAGGCTTTCAAGGATCCCCCACTTGCTGCTGCTACAGACCTTAGGTTTCTTAATGGAGCTGGAGACCTTTCAGTGGCTACTGTCCCTGTTAGCTGGGCAGGGTTTTCTAAGAGTAGAATTCCATCTCCTCTCCCTTTGACTGACAGCAGACACAGGACAAGGAAGTGAATGCAGCAGCAGGGTGAAGCCCCCAAAGATGTCTGAACACCTGCTTGTCCCCACCTAAGACTCTTCTCTTTATTGCTGAATTCTACTCATGTCAGTGAAAGTGAAATGGGCTTCAGTTGTCATTTACTGCAACAGATGTCATATGCCCTCTGAGAGCTGAGACCACGGCTGCTTTGTAGCCTCAGTGGCACAAAGAAGAAAAGCTGTGGCAAGGACCACGGGGGAGAAATGTTCTTGGCATGCTGGTTGCTGGAAGGACAGAGAAACCTACTCAATGGGAGAACACCAGAAATGAATACATGGGCAAAAGAGTGAATGAACATAGGAAAATCAATGGGAAGGAGCAAAGAGGCAGCTATGAAAGGGTCTTAAAGGGGCCACTAAGCTGCCCGAACCAGGGCTTCTGAGCAAGCACTGGGGCACTGTCTCCCTTTCTCTTTCGAGTAAATGATGACACAGGTGGTGGCCCCCACCTGGACTGGTGCTGCGCAAAAAGACAGCTCTCCCTTCCTTTGTCTCAATGCACATTTTTGTCTTCTTTTCTTCATACATGTTGAGACCTCATTGTTCTGTTATATTTTGTTTCTAAATTTTTTCTACCAAGAATTTTGAATAATAGAGTACAGTAGATTAATTTTCACTGAGGCTTAGACGTCGTTCAGAAAGAGGCGTGTGTGTGTGTGTGTGTGTGTGTGTGTGTGTGTGTGTGTGTGTGTGTGTGTGTGATGTGTGTGATGTGTGGGGTATCTAGATCCTGGAACTCTCAGCCTCAGTTTCTCTTTATTACAGTAAGAAGGGTGATGTGAAAGAAGGATTTCTGATTTCTTGAATGAAGGAAGCAGCCAGCTCTATTTCTTGCCTCAGTGAGTTTGTCCACCTCTTCCTGTGTCGTCAGTTCTTCCACTGATAAAACGGTGGTGGCTGCCTACACCGCACCTTACCAGAGGCTGCCAGGATGTGTCCATCACTGGATGTGGATTTTTATGATGATGTGACTGGGTTCTAAATAAAATTTAGTTTGTTGGCGGAGGAACTAGGAGACACTTAAGGCCTTGGTGACTGCATGAGGGAAGAAAACAGTGTAGTGAACACAACCTCTGCAGTACAACAATGCTTTGCTAGGATGTCTCCCCTGGCCTTCTCTGACTCTGTGGTTTTCCATACTCAGCCTCCTCCAGTCTTTGCTCATCTCTCCACAGATCTCACAGGACTTTGTCACACCTCCAGCTCTGCCGCCTCTACTTTTATGAAAATATTTTGAACACAGACAGGGCTTACACATTTAGTTGCTGTTCATTCACCTTCAAATAGCTCTTTGATAGTGGTAATTGTCATATTGCCTAGCTGTGCTGAGCCGCTGACCCCTGTGCTGACATGCAATTTGATAACTCCTCGAAATGATCATCTTCACTGACTCACAACAAATGTCCCTGTGACGGCTGCGACAATGGGAAGGAAAGGGAACAGTCCTAATTCTTTTCTCCTACAGAAAAAGGACAGCTTGTACACAAAGGGAGGGTACAAGAGGGTCATGGACTCGTACACAGCGGTACTGATAACCTCAGGGAGGGATGTGGAGACCTATGATGGGCAGGCAACTTGAGAGTCCCTCCCAGAGGCAGATAGAATTTCTTAGGTCTGAGAAAATGTTAAAAATAGCTTCCTGCAGAACATGTTGTTTTCATAGCCTCTAAAAAAAATTGTGGGGCTCACACTGTTGTTGATGGCTTTTATTTTCTGATTTTTGCCTGGCTAAATTATATCACCTTTAAGGCCCAGTAGCTGGCAAGTGATAACACTGAAGATGACATTGAAAGCCTGACTGAACTTTCCTTAATTTAGAAAAAGCTTGTTTACACATCGCACCTCCATCGGATGTCGGGAGAGGATTTCCAGAGATTAGATTGCGACGATCTGCTATCAGGAGTCTGGAAGGGAGGTTAATAAGGAGGGGAGGACCAAGGACCGTACCTCTTGTCATCCTTGAACCATTGGAATTCTGCTGAAGGGACTGCTGAGGCTTCACATTGCAGTGTCCCCTTCTGCCCCACGGGGACACCTGTGCCCTTAGCTTCTGAGATGTATGGTGGGTCTGCAGGAAGAAGACGGTCCGTGCCATTTAAGGGTATTTTTGAAAATGAAAAACAGAAACAAAAACAAACGGCCTCATTCATGAATTTTGCTTCATAGTCTCTGCCCTACTCTGCTTATCTGCATCACCAAACTGCTGCATGGACGCTTCCCAAGAATGAAAATGGTCTCAGTGCCATTCTAAAGGAAGACATTGTCTTTCAGCATGCATTGCCTCTCTTCTCTGTGCTGAGGTGGAGTGGTGAGCTCTTGAGGCACAGTGCCTGTTTAAGCCTTTTAACTTTCATAGGCTGACACCCACCCATCAGCCTTACACTCCACGGGATGGCAGTCAGCACCTTTAATCATCCTCATAGAATTTCTGCACACCAGGTCTTGCAAAAGTGTAGGACTTCAAGCTATTCAATTCCCATCTAAGACTCACTTATAACTAATAATATTCATGGAGAATTGCCTGAAGGATGTACAGACCAGTCCTTCCCGTGGGCCTTCTGAAATGGATCCCGTGCTAAACTAGACCTCTTTGCTTGGTCTACATTCATTTGAAGTTTTCATTCAGCTACCTGTGGCATTCCAGCCATCTGCACTGGTGGGTGTTATACAACAGCCACTCTAAAATTACTGTTCTGTTGGATGCCAGGGCATTGTACAGGATGTACTGACTGTATCTGACAGTGGAGAGGATTTTCTTTATGCTCACCACACCAGGAGAAGCAAGATTTTTCCTCAGAAAAGCACCTGCTTTTGTCTTCTGGATGATGTACATCTTAGAGCCTGTGACGTTTCCTTTGCATTAATTGTAAAGGCAGATTCTAGACGTGAACCCAGCAGCCTGCTGCTTTATGTTTCACATTTCACAGGTTGAGTCCCCCCTTTTACTAATTTCCATGCTACATTTTTTCCTTTGCTTCCGCTTTTGTTTTACAACTTACATTCATTGTCAACAATTGCAAATCATCTTAAGTTCCCTTAAAAATAGAGTTTCAGTAATAGGAAAACAGGGTAGCATTGTTTTGCCTTTACTGCTTAAAGTGTTTCATTCTATCTAGATTCAAACTGGAGCACAAATGCAAACAGTAAACACCGAGCATTAATCTATGCACAGTATCCTTCCCCTCCCTCACCCTGCCCATGTTGAAGGGCGGAAGCTTCTGGGCTGCTGGTCCAGGGCTTGGGTTATATTCTGTGACAAGCAAAAACCTTCCACAAGCCACGGGGAGTCAAGTCAATGCACATAACAAGGAACCCAGAGGGAAAAGAGTGGGGAATTGGTAGAAAATCCAGGTCACCAATGTCAGGGAGAATTCAGAAGGGCTCACAAAGGGAGAATGAAGTTTTCATAGCCCTGGCCTTCAAATGTTTTGAATTTTGCATCTATTAGTTAAAAAAATAAAATTTTGAGATATACCCTCTAAAACCCGCATCAGTATATACTACTATAAATTACGTATGTAATCAGTAGTCTGTATTCATGAACATCTTCCTTACAAACGCATGAGATACAAAGAGATACAAAAATATTGCACACACAGGGGTGGTATTTGTTCTAGCTCCGGTTTCTCTGCCCCACTGGAAGTATCTGACTAGGAAGGTTGTCACTGTGTCACATGAATAAAGTACAGGGAAACTTTTTTGAAATACATTTATATGAAGCAGGTATTCAGTGCCGTTTATTGATTTGCGAGCTGTGTATGAAAGTTTGGTGTTCCATAAAGTTACTGTCAGCTGCTTTCAAAAAGAAGGGTGACACTGGATCCATGGGAAAAAAAAAAAAGAAAAGAAAACATGACTTTGGCTTCTTAGCTCTTGGAAGCAGAGAACAGAAGTGACCCTGGGTCTTCTCTGTCGCTCTGAAGGCTGGTTTATAGCTGCAGTCTTGATAAGAGGCCAGCCTCGCACACTCATGGGGTGGGGGCTGGCAAGGCCACTCACAGTTCACGGTGACCTTCACTCTCCGTACCACTGGTGCCGCCACATCATTGGAAGCACTGCATTCGTAGTCCCCTGACTGCTCCCGAGTGATGCCCTGAATTTCCAGGTACTCATCTTCACTCACAAAGCCGACAGCTGCAGGAAAAAGAGTGCGGCATAGTAAACTGGGGGGGAAAGACCAAAGACACTCATTGGAAAACACAGTAGAGGGGTTGGGGATTTAGCTCAGTGGTAGAGCACTTGCCTACCAAGTGTGGGCCCTGGGTTCAGTCCTCAGCTCCAGAAAAAGAGAGAGAGAGAGAAAGAGAGAGAGAGAGAGAGAGAGAGAGAGAGAGAGAGAGAGAGAGAGAGAGAGAGAGAGAGAGAGAAATAGGAGCTGGTTACATCTGGAGAACTGTTCCTGTATCAGCTCAAATCCTTAGGAACTCTGCAGATTCTCTCTTTCCTATTTTTGACCCCCACCCCCAATTCACACCCTCTTTTCCTTGGCTCCCCAGTGTTCTAGCTGTGGTGTTTGTGCTCCCACTGAACTCATGTATGGAGAGAATTAACTGGTTCCTCATAAGTGATCAATAATTTTGACATTTACACTGCTGGGATCTCACCACATGGTACAGCTCTGGGACTGGAGCAGGCCCCTTAACTCTTTCTGACCTCCAGGCACCATTGAAAGTGAGTCTCGGATGCTGAGCTGCATAATACAATCCTGGACACGAGTCAATTGAGGATACTCCAGAATGGTTTTACACACACACACACACACACACACACACACACACACACACACACACACACACACACACATACACACACACATTCCCTTATACATGAGACACATCAGCAGTGAAACATACACAATGAGAACACCTTTATTTTTGTATTAGACAGACAAACAGGCAGATATCAATTTTCCAGACATTGATCTCCTGAAACTCATAGGCATAAAACCCAAAGAACAAATCAATGTGAAGACCACACATGTGATGTCAAACAACAAGGACAAGCAGGAAGGGAAGAGTAAGCATTCATGACTACAAATCTTTCCCTGTCACTTAAACATTCAGAAATCTGATTTCATACCTCTAGTGAAAAATCACTAATAATAATAAGACCATATCCAAGACCATATTCCACACATGATGTATAGTCATGAGCATTCAGTTATGCAAAGACAGCCTTCCCCATGCTCCTACTCTTTCAGACATGGTCTCCAATACCCAAGGCTGGCCTCAGGCTCACTAAGTTGCCTAGACCTTGCACACCTGAACTTGTCTCCACCTCCCTACTGCTAGGATGACAAGCATGTGTCGTCACACCTGGATAAGCCCAAAACACTTAGAGAATAAGTTTCCAAATTCTGTCTCAAAGCTACCCTTGTCTTAGTTTACTATAAAGTTTCAAATAAAGAAGGAAAATGTTCTTTACCTTCTGGGATTTTCCTTCCTTAACTGTTTAGTGAGGATGGTGAGGATGATGATACCGTACAATAAGATACTGTGAAACATGAACAGCAGCAGGGGGCATTGTGGTTAATTCTGGGACAACAGACTGAAATTGGGATTGTCCCCAGAAATGGAGAATTGCTTTTCCAGTGTAACACACAAAACAGCCCCGATATCTCATGGAGTTACTGAGAGCCACAAATAAAAAGAACACAGCACTCACGAAAGCATGTGGAAACTTGCATGTACTGCCCGCCTGGTAATGCAGTTAATCCTAAAAGTTTTAGAGAAGCTCAGAGGGAGGTGGGATAAAGCCGCATTCACATGGACAGCCCTAGAAATGGAACAGGGACTTTGGAATCTAGGTCATAAAAGCCTTCCACAATGTCACATGATTCTGTTAACCCAGAACATGAAACCAATGACCGAGAAGTTAGCACAACACAAAGAAGGATGTGCATGGCATGTAAGCTGTAGCTGTATATGACAGTGCTGTCCTCATTCTTGACATGTCAACAGCAACAACAGCAACAGTAGCAACAATAATAGAAAAATAAACACATCCCATTATGTTGTAAGCAAAAGCCATTACTGTCCACCATCCTGCAAATTTTAGCCATGCTTGGGGGTGGGCTTTGAGGTTTTTCTTGCTCAAGCTTCCCTCAGTGTGACTATCAGTCAACAACCTGTCGCCTGCAAGATGTAACACTCTCACTCAGCTCTAGCACCACATCTGCCTGCATGCCACCATGCTCCCCATCATGATAATAATGGATAGAACCTCTGAAACTGTAAGCAAGCCACCCTGATTATATGTTTCTTTTATAAGCATAGCCATGGTCATGGTGTCTCTTCACAGCAATAAAAACCCTAAGATACTAAGTTTGTGCAACCATCCAGCAACATCATACCAACCCAGAGCACTCATTTACATATATTTAGGCTTATGCAATCTGTACTGCATGGGTCCCAACATTTTCTTCCTTCTATTCACTTTGAAAGGGAAAAGAAGTGCCAGCATCTCTTATGAAAAAAAACAAAAAACAAACAAACAAAAAACCCCAACAACCATGAAAAACATTTAATTCACAAGAAGGAGCAAGGGTATACTGATTAAGTAGAAAGCAGAAGACCATCAACTGGAATCCCCAAAGACTCACAATTTCTAGAAGAAACTTCTGAGTCAGTATTATGGTTTCAGATTAACACACTCTTTAGGACCTTGGTCTGAGGAAGGCTAGAGGAAATGAGAAGGGATTCTAGTGAAGAAATTGCGATTCCTCTTACATGGCTGTTGTTTATTTACTACCAACTGCAGGCCAACATTTGTCAGATCTTTTCGCGCCAGAGTGCTATAATTACTGTGCAAAGCATCTCAGAGACCAGTGTCACACTTAATATTCCCATTAATTTTAAATGGTAGTCCTTGGTACATATGTGTGGCAATTGGTGTCATATTTTAATTAGGCTTGCCCTACACCATCTGAAATTAATAATAGCTCGAATTACCAGTGTAATTTATAAATTAACAGTGCCTCAGCATTAGGAAATAAATTAGCTTTGGACAGCTGTTTCTGGACTGAGCTCCAGTGCCATTGCAATGATAGGTGGGACCTCAGGTCTCTTAGGGCCAGGTAGTCCACCACCAAGACTGAGGAACAAGAAGGGATGCATTCTTCTGGGCACTTGCTTTCTCCAATTGAAGTCTCTGTGTGTGTTTTTGTTTTTGTTTTGTTTTGTTTTGTTTTTTGATCTGGATCTATGATCCAGATGTTTGTTGTGATCACATTGAGATTTCTAGAAGCTGAATTGTGATTAACTTACTCTGTGGACATCCAAAAGGAAGAACATTTGGAAGGAGTGCAGTCATGAGCTGATGTGCAAGCTAGTAAATGGTCATTGACATTGAAAACTCATCAAGTAGTCTGTAAAAATGTGGGGGTATGAATGATCATGAAAATTCATCTATTCTTGCCAGGTGGTGTATAAGGAAGGAAGCAGATGGCTTAGGATTTGGGGAGGCATATGCTCTTTACTGATCCAAATATTTAGTATATGTAAGTCATACAGAAGCCAATGAGACTTTATTTTACCATCATAAGTCCTCAGACAAAGTGAGAAACAATAAAGAACCCACATAATTTCATTGATTCCCAGAATATACATTTTTCTGACTAAGCAAGACCTATGAAAAGTTGTTCATCTCTGTTAAAGAGCTTTATAAATTTTACTTCCCATTGTTTTCAGCTTTCTTTTAGTAGGAAGTTTTCTTACCAGGGTCTAAGTGGAAAAAAATGGGGAGAAAGGTGAAAATCACACTCACAGTAAGCTAAACTCTGCAGCACCAGAAGTGATGTACCTACTGGTGCTACTTAAACAAATGAACAGAGCACACTAAACCAAAAGACAAAGTTTTAGCATGTAAAAACAAAAATCAAGGTTTCTTATAACAGCATTTGCACTCTGGCAGTGAATTGATCAGTGATTTATTGCTAGCATGAAGAACTTAGAAAGAATCCAGGAGGGGGAAAAACAAAAACAGTTTAACTGAGCACATTTTCTAAAGTGCTACAGCCATCTTAAGACGGAAAGTGGCAAGCCGCTTGATAAAAGCCGGTGAAAAGAGTCTCTTCATGATCAATAACTACTCATCTATAAGTTGGCTTTCTCTTCTAAAGAAAATGCATCCTTGGGTGAAAATGACACTCTTCATCCTAAAATATCTCCCTCTTCATGGCACAACTCTTCAGACACCACAAGTGGATCCCTGTTTTCTTTAACATCATACATATGCCTGTGCCTTACTATAAAAGCACCCCCCCCACGCCCGCCCAGAGGAGCCCACTACACATTAGAGTTTATCTTGCATTGGTGTGCAGAAGAAAGTGACAGATCGCCTTTGTAAAGAACAGGAGTTTTGAGTCACACAAAACTAATTCTCGACCATCTAGATTCATGATATGGTGGGTCTGCTAACTTCTCCGCACTACCAGTTCTTCTTCGGAACAATCCAGAACACTACCATGCACTTCCAGCACTGCTGTGAGAGGCGGTTGCTGTGGGGAGAGTGAGAGGCGTGGGATCAGCTCTCCGTAGGTACCGGTCACTCTAATCATTGCCATCATCCATTGTGGAGACCCACAGAGGTTTCCTAGTGAGAACTTACTCAGGGTCAGAGAATCGGGGCTTGCTTTACCCAGCAGGGCTGCATAAGGAGATGATTTGGCCACGGACATGTTTACCAGGTGTCTGGAAGGGTCTACACTTGGCTGTACATTATTGCTTTGATCTTGCAAGGAGGAAGTTTTCTGCCTCTCTCCCTTGGTTCATTGTAAAAAGCCCTTTTGAATAAAGCTCTGGGCTGTTGGGTATTGATCTAGACCCCCGAAGCTAGTCTGTGTCTCTGTCTTTCTCCTCGCTGTCATCTAATATTTTCTCATTCCTTTCTCCTCCAGCCAAGAACCCTTTGTGAGGTGGGAGCAGGTCGGAGCTGGACTCCTACAATCCATACCCTAATGCTATCATGATTCTTAAAATTTTATTTTGTTTTATTTTAGTTGTCTGTAGATGAGGTGAGCATGTGCATACATGAATGCTGGTACTCATAAAGTCCAGAAGAGTGTGTCAGATCTATTGGAACTGGATTTCCAGGTGTACCAACAAATGTGGTGCTGGGAACTGAAACTGGGTCCT